TCAGACAGGTCATGGGGATCCCTGCGCCAGAGCCAGCGCCCGACCGCGTCTCTGACGAAGCTCCGAACTTCGCGCGGGGAAAAATCACGCGGGGGACGCGTTCGCCTGCGTCCGTGCTTAGAGGGCGGGGCCCTACCATATTCCAACCTATCCCACGCCGAAAAAGGGTCACAGACGAGACCGGGTCAACTCATTCCCTCCGCGAGCTTGCGACACCACCCGCGACATGACCGTGCTCCAAGCAGCTCCAAGCATGCTGGGAGAGGCTCTGGCATCCCAAATCCAGCGAGTATATCTGCCAACGAGCGGGCACGTCGCCTCAGACGTGGAATCGTACATCCTGGCTATTTGCGCGCGCGTACACGGCAAGGGAAGGGCCCTGTCTGGCCCCGACAAACTCCCCCGGAAAAAAAACATGCTTCATCAGAGCCGCTCCCGTGGGCCCATCAAGACCATCCCCGTGGCTCGCAGACGGTGGAACTCCCGCGCGCCACGGGGCGCAAATGTTCAAACCACTGGCCCTATTGTGGGCCCTGGGGTTTCCACGTCCACCCAAGGCGCTTGAGATCGATGGACCAGCGCGCAACTCCTCCCGCGAAAATGACATGACCGAGGTCGCGAGCACTCTGGGAACTCCTGAGGCCCAAGCTGGCATGCACTGGCCTCCACGGCCCTCGCAGCCTCCTTGGGCGACCCTGCGCATCCGGACTTGGCCGCCAGAGTGAGGTCGCCAAACGGCTGCGGATCACTGGCGATAGCCGCGGCGACAGTAAGGGCCACCCCTGCCTGCCTGGCCCGGCGCCCAACCACCTGGAACGATGCGTCGTCCATGGGGCCTCACGGCACCACTAGGTCACGCTCCCTCCTGAGACTTTGGAGAGGCCGTAACGGCGAGGCATGCAAAAGGGTGGCGCCGCGGGGGCAGCCAGCCAAGATCCCCTGCAACGACGCGTAGGACTTTCTAAGAGCGTCGAAGCCCCAGGATGCGCCAAGGCTGCTGATAACCGCAAACCAGCATCCGCGCTAGACGCTAGACGCGGGGGGGGGGGGGGGGGCGGGGAGCAATGGCAGCAGACTCGGCCATCGCGGCCTCGTGCTCGACGAGCTCGCAACACTTAGGGCCGCGAGGAGAAATGCCGTCGCGGAGTCGCGGAGTGCTGGTCAGTGCACCTAGCTACTTCGGCCTCGAGGTTGCGCGCGAATTCGCAGTGATGGCCAGGCCTGCCAGGGCCCGAGCCCCGCCAAAGCTCGCCGCGATTATCACCCCCCCACTCCGCCGACTCAGGCCTCCGAATCCCCTGCCCGACCGTGACTAGAGGACGCGCGAAGGCAATGATGAGGCGATGCCCTCCTTGCCCGTCGGGCTTGGGTAGTCTGGCGAGCTCGGTGGGCGCGCGACTTCCTGGCGGGCGCCCTAGCCCCTCGCGCTGCATGGAAAGTCGACTCGCGTCTTGAGTGACTCATCGCTGAGGCGCCAATACCTGCGTGGCGGCAGCTCTGGCCAACGGTCCGCTCCAGGTGGCAAGTCTAGCTTTCTGCAGCCGCGCCCGGCCCAGGCGGTGGACCAGCGACAATGTCACGCGATTGGCTACCAGAACGTCCGCCAGCCGAAAGGCATTATTGCTGGACCTGTGGGCCCTGGAAGCGGACGAAAACGATCTCGACCCGGGCCTTCCGCGACTGGCCCTTCGCAGAAGAGGCCAACGTACTTTCTGCTCGGCAAATAATCCGGCCCGCCATGTCGCACAGGTAAAGGAGCACGCCTTGGGCGCAAAAGGGCCTCGCACGCGGATCCACCACAACGGGCGCCCGCTGCTGCTTCGAAAACCGACCGAAGGATGCCTCGGCATCGTGCCACAACGCCCCAATTTTGGAAATATCTGAAACCACCTGCATTCCAGCATTCTTGTTGGTCATGATACGGGGTGTACTGTTGTTGAGGCCCTCGCAAACCCCGCGCAGGTACCGCGCCCAGCTTGCCGCCGCCGCCCACGCATCCGTGGGCGCACTTCGCGCGGGCGGACGACGTCGCGGATGGTGCCGGGGCATCCCCCGCCACTGCAGGCGACGAGATCCAGCGCGCCCCATCTGCGCGCGGCGCGCATCACCCACCGTGTCAAGTCGCTCGCTGAGCACCTGTTCGACACCTTGGAGCACGTCATTCCAAAGCTGCCCAAGGCCACCTTCCGCCGCGGCATCGCCCCGCTGCTGAACGAGATACCTGGGGCACCCAGGCGGCGCCGCTGCATCGATCGCCATCAGCTTCGGGACCCCTCTGCACCAAAGAGGTCGGTCTCGCGCGAGCATCGGCATCGTGACAGGCTCCCGCGGGCACGAGCTTGCGCTCTCGAACACGTCTGGGGTCTGAATACCGCCCATCAGTCTCGCACCCGCGCCGAAGTGGTCGAGCTTGGACCCTGGCAGCTCCTGCCCGCAGGTGGTCGCAGACGCGGGCAGCAGCACTGACCCAGCGGAGTTGAAACGCGACCCCAGCTCCTCGGGGGGCGCCTGGAAGTCGCAGCCCACCATCCACGCGTAGCCTTTACTTCCAACATCGAGGACATACGACCCACCGCGCACCAGATCTCTAGGTTGGCGTCGTCCAGCCCGACGGCGCAGCGCAGGCGCGCCGACGCAGCCACGAACCCGCCAGCTGGGCCCCAGCGCGCGGCCAGCCGACGCCCTGCTGGGAACCCAGCAGCTTGACTCCTGACACGGGGCGTCGCGACTTGAATACAACCTTGGAAATGACAGCGCAGCCACCATTCGCGTCGTCACCTGCCGACTGCCCAGCCTCATGCAACGCGCCCTGGTAGCCAAGGTTTCGGACTCTCTGCGCAAGCCCTCCACTTTCCAGATGACAGCGTGGTGCTCCTGGACCAGCACTACATTGCCGCCGAACTCATCGCTCGCCAGCGGCGCCCCCAGCCCACCGTGAGCGGACGCGTTCGCGGTGTTGGCGCAACCCTTCACTTGGGGGGCCACGTCTGTAGTTGGCGGCGACTGCGCTGCGCCGTCTGGCCCCGCGCCTCCAGCAGCGCCAGCAGCGCCGCCCCCATCGCTTGGCCGAGATGCCGAAATACTATCTGGGGTGCCCGTGCGAGCCGACCCCCAGTCCCCTGGGCGCGCAGCACCCATGGCAATGTCAGGTGCCTCCCCCATCAGGCCCCGGCCGACTCCGCGCCGCATAACACGTCGCAACCCTCCTGAGAGAGCCGAGCTCGCGCGGCCAACGTCGACCCCCGCGGAAGGCATTCAGCCCTTGAGGCGGCCCTCTGCCTCTTCTGGCACGCGAAAAAAATTCCTCTGACATCGAGGTCGCCAGCCCAACCTCCTCCAGCGGCTGCCCAGCGCTGGGGGCCCAGCAAAACTGCGGCGACGCTAGGCCCAGGCCACTGCGCCGAAGCAGTGGCACCTGGGGCTTGTGATCTAGCGCCCAGCGAAACATCGGCGACGTGTTGCACCGGGCGCTGCATCGAAGTTGTGGCACCTGGGACTTACGTTCTAGGCCCTCCGTAACCTCCGTATTCTGCAATCCGATGATTGTCGTCATCATCGTCATCATCCGGAAAAAAGACCCCGAGCACGAACCGGCGACGCCACCAGCAGGTCCTCCGCGGGCGGGCCCGTCCACTCGCGCTCTGCGGGGCCCTGCAGGCCGCCGCAGCACCACTAGGCCGCCTCGCGCAGGTCGGACTCTCCTTCAGGCACCGAGACCTATGGTCAGGAGGAAGGCACGAAGGACCTCGGGATGGTCAGCACCGTCTCCGGCAGTGACGGGTAGCACCAGGCCAGCCGCGCGCCCTCCAGCTTGCAGCCCGAGCTGGGGAGGCTGCTGTGATGGCGGCGTCGCTGGCAACGCGACCCCGCTGCCGGTGGCACCGATGGCTGATGCTGCCGCCGCCGCTCGCACCTGCTCCGCTGCGCAAGTATCGCGTCACTTGCTCGTCTGCGCCGAAGGAGGCGAGGACCTGCACCATCTGGTCAACCGACATCTGGACGCTCGGAGGCACCTCCTCTAGCGACGCCATGGCGCCCTCGACGACGGTGGTTGACCGGGGGGACTGCGCCGCCTCTTCAATTCACTGTGCCTCCAACGCCACCATCTCCTGCCGAATAGAAGCCAGCGCCTCTGCAGCCTCTGGGCGCTGGGTCTGCAACTCACGCACCTTGACCTGGATCTCCCCGAAGGACTCGTGCTTGGCCACAGCCTTGTGCTCAAGCCCCTGGATTAGCTGCGATATCCTCTGAATGTGTACGGGTCGCGGCTTCTGGCCCACCCATTTGGAGCGCAACTCCGCCAGCTTTGCCGCGCACTTTTCGCGAAGTTTCTTCACCCCTCCTGATGAATATGTTGCATTCTCGAGGCCGTCGAGAAGTGCCCAAGTTCTTTGGCACGCGCCGACTCCACCTCTGCCTCAACCTGTGCACTACTCTTGTCGACATCCATCCCCAGCTTGTCAGGAACAACTTCGGCCTTAGCAAGCTCTACCTTGGCCTTCTTGAGCTCAAGCTGTACTTTGTGAAGCTCAGCCGACTGCTCACTGCCTTTGTCGCGTGCCGCACTTGGACCTGCAGACTTCGACGGGACACCTGGCACTGTGGGCGAATGGAAAGCGGTGTCTTTGCTTCGGAAACGCTCCTTACACATGAACACGTCCGCGTGGTTCCACCACCTGTCCCCATTGGTCGGGGGCCAACAAGATCGACAAGACCACGGCTCCGGCCACGCAATCCGCTCCTTACTGTGCCCACTGGGCGGAAACATGATACTGCCGCCGTCCGGGCCAATTGCCCCCACCAAGAGTTCACTGAATGGAAGCTGTTCACCCGCGAGCGCGAGAAGCATGCCACAACCTGGGGCGGACCAAGATGTACGAAACAATTGGAAGCATAAGCCTTCAAGCCAAAATGGCTACGGAAAAGGAGGAGAAGGAGGGGGAAGGAGGAGGTGGAGCCCAGAGGAGCGATGGAGGAGAGGCAGAGGAGGGAGCCGCTGCTCAGCAGCCTCCGAAGCGCGTCGGCGTCCTCCGCACTGCGGGCTCCTGGGAGATCCGCTTGGCGCGGACCTGTGCCAGCTCGGGCGCCCTCTCCTCCACCGATACCTCCTCCTGACTATTCTCGCCTCTCTCCTCCAGCTCCTCCTCTTCCTTCTCGCCCTCCTCCGCTTCCTCATCGACGTCATCGCCTCCCCCCTCCCACTCCCCATCGTCCTCCTCCTCCGCCTCCTCCTCCTACTCCTCCGCCTCCTCCTCCTCCTCCTTCTCCTCATTATCATCCACCTCCTCCTCCTCCTCCTCCTCCTCCTCCTCGTCCTCCTAGTACGTTCTCGTTTCCTTCCTCCTCCCTGTCCTCTTCCTGGTCCTCCTCCTGGACCTCCTCCTCCTCCTCCTCCTCCTCGGTATCCCCGTCTCCCTACTGATGCCTCCCCTCGCCCTCACTAATGTTTTCTTCCTTTTCGTGATATCGTCGTGGTGTGTGGCGTAGTCATCATCGTCATGCTGTTCCTCATTACTTACATGCACATCCACATTCATCACCTCCTCTACAACCTTGCGGTCGACGTCGTCAACTTCTTCTTTTTCTTTTTCTTCTTCTTATTCTTCTTCTTCTTCTTCATCGTCCTCTTCCTGTGCTACCTCATGTTTTCGAAGACTTGATAACAGTGCATGGCCAATGACCATCGGACCGGGTAGCCAGGTCGAATCAGAATGTGCGTCGGATCGGGCTGCATCGGTACGGAATCGCAATCGATTCGGATCGGGGCGGCGCCAAAATGCACAACAACGTCACGCAAACATTAGCCGCATCGGATCGCCAGAACATCGGAATCGAACCGGATCGAGCCGACCAGATTCGACATCAGATCGGATCGATCGGGTCGAACTTGACCATGCATTCGTCGTCCCCCTGGTCCACCTTCTCCGCCCCCGCCTCCCCCCACCCACACCCTTCTCCCGACCGCTTCGCTCTGGCTCTTGATGCTACTGGTGCTGCTGCTGCGTAGCTGCTGCGGTTGGTGCTGCCGCTGCCTCTCGTCGTCCTCCTCCTCCTCCTCGAACCCACTCATGCTCCTTCTCCTCCTCCTCCTCTCCTCCTCCACCTTTCCTCCTCCTTCTCATTACCCTCCTTCTCCTTCTCCTCGCCCCTCCTCTTCCGTCTTGCCTCTCGCCCTCCTCCTTGTCTCTCTTTACACTGTTCGCCTTCTACTGGGAGATGGTGCGTGCATTCAGACTTGTGGACGCGGATTCACAGTGCAGCTGATGGTGCACGGTGCCACGGCGTTGCACTACACAAGGTTATCTCCCACCTGTCCAAGCAGGGCGAGGAACAGCTGGAGAGGTGCACAAAGGCTAACGAAACAGTTGACGAGCACGCTAAGACGGCAAGAACGGAGCCGCCATGCACCCCTGCGATGAAGCCGCCTTTGGATGAATAAAGCGGCCTTCTACGGTGGTAGGCTTGATGTGTCCACGTCTTGGTCATGCGGCTTCTTCGGAATTGGCTGCGCTACCAGTGACTGGGCGGAAGCCTGCGAGTGAGGCCCCCCTCCCCTTCCGAGGGTTTCCTCACCAGCTCGTCTGCGACAGGCACATCGAGAGGCCCTGGTGTCACACTAGTGCGGCCTCGGGTAAGACGACGGCCGCGCTGACCAGGAGGATCTGCCCTGCCCCAGATGACGCTGGCCACCATCTACTCCTGACGGGCTCATATCCGCCGCCGCCCGTGGGAGGGGGCGTCAGGCTGTGACGTCTGCTGCTGGACTGCTGTTTTATGCTATTTGTGCTGGCTCCTGCTTTTCCTGGATGGCGTCCCGCTGGTGGGTTCTAATGAAATATCTATTTAAAGGAAAACAAAAGAGTTCCACAGGGGGGGGACGGGTCGTCCAAGGCCGCCCCGCGAGATCGTTTGGTGTGGCAGCCGTTTCGCCTCACAATTCATTCAGGAACCATGCTCTCGCCTCTGTGCCGGCTGCATTGCTGACCTGGACGGCATAGACCCCTTCTTAAAACACCTACACTGCGGTGCACATAGCCGTGCTACCACCCTGTAAAAGTTAAAGAGAACCCAAGACAAACCACGCAGGGGGGGCCGGGAGTGTGGGATCGCCCCGCGAGATCGCCTAGCCTCAATGCCGGCTACATTGTTGGTCTGGACGGCCATGACCATATGCAAAAGATACACGTGCACATGGCCGTGCTCTCACCCCAATCGGAGCACAGGGGGAGGGCCCAAAGAAGCCCCAGAGAAAGCAAACAAACGCTGAAACACCACAATGGTTTGAGTGTATTTTTGCGTGTCCCCAGGTCTGCCCCCTAAGTGTCCAACAATCGCTTCGGGACGGCCCCTAGAGACCCCGAGATTGCCCAATACGGCCCCATGATGACCCCAAGAAGGCCCCAATATACCGCCCAAATCATCCAGGATGTTCCAACAAAGCTCCACGATGCCCTCAAGATGGGCCCCATGATTGCCATTAGGACGCCGCCACGCGGTTAGGAGGCCCCAAGGGGCCCCACAGACGACCCAAGGAGGCTCCGAAGAGGGCCTCAAGAGCCCAATACAGCCGACGGTCGCCCAAAGGTGCCTCCAAGGTGGCTCAGAAAGGCCCAGGATGCCCTGGAGAAGGCAAACAAACACTGACACACCGTAATGATGTCAACGTTGTTTGCATGTCTCATGCTTTGCTCCCAACATGCTGGACAAATCGTCTCGAGACGGCCCACGGGCTCCGAGATTGCCCAATACGGCCCCAATGATGGCCCTAAAAAGGCCCCAAGACACCGCCCACATCGTTCCGGATGTCCCAACAAGGCTACTGCTGCCACCGTCGTCTTCGTCGTCGTCGGTGGCGGCGTTCGCATCGGTGCGCTCGTTCGTCCGCCGTCATCGAGTCCTTTGTCGCCGTCGTCGTCGGTGGCCTTTGTTCATCCTTTTTTTCTCTGCAGGACATCATGCCACAACGCGGGCGCGCGCGAGACCAACCTAGACTCCAGACCCTCTTCCTCCGCATCGTCATTCCCCTCCTCCTCCTCCTCCTCCTCCTCCTCCTCCTCCATTCCTTCTCCGTATAAATAACTGTTCCCTGTCGCACCCGGAGGCCAGTTTTTAGGGCGGGCCGTACGTTTTGCCTGAGACTATCTCACCATGTATGATTCTGAAGCATAATAAGAAGTAGCAACAGTTTCACAGATGGAGGGCGGATGGTTGTCAAAATGTGGCTCTCGCCTTCGCGCCGCACACGTTCGTGTTAAACATGTGTAAGAGCTTCACGGATTGAGGGCGGGTCGTTTTCAACATGTGGTTCTCGCCTTAGCGCCGCGCACATTATGTTTAAACATGTATAAGAGCTTTACGGATTGAGGGCGGGTGGTGTTCAAAATGTGGCTCTCGCCTTAGCGCCGCGCACATTCGTTCTAAGCATGTGTAAGAGCTTCACGGATTGAGGGCGGGTGGTTTTCAAACATATGGCTCTCGCCTTAGCACCGCGCGCATTCGTTTCAAACATGTGCGAGAGCTTCACGGATTGAGGGCGCGTCATTTTCAAAATGTGGCTGTCGCCTTAGCGAAGTGCACATTCGTGTTAAACATGTGTAAGAGCTTCACGGATTGAAGGCGGGTGGTCTTCAAAATGTGGCTCTCGCCTTCGCGCCGCACACATTGTATGTTTAAACGTGTGTAAGAGTTTCACGGATTGAGGGCGGGTCGTTTTCAAAATGTGACTCTCGCCTAAGCGCCGCGCGCATTCGTTTAAAACATGTGTGAGAGCTTCACGGAGTGAGGGTGAGCCGTTTTGAAAATTCTGCTCTCGCCTGAGCGCCGCGCACATTCGTTTCAAACATTTGCGAGAGCTTCACGGATTGAGGGTGGGTTGTTTTCAAAATGTGGCTCTCGCCTTAGCGCTGCATTCGTTGTAAACATTTGCAAGAGTTTCAACGTACCAGAATGGTGACTTGGAGGGATTCAGGATTATGCGACAGGTATGTTCATTCGCGGTGTTGAAATCCCAAAAATGGCGCTCCGGCATGATTCCGGATCGTTTAAACGCAGCAAGCAGTCAGGTTGATAAGCGGCGTTGGGATCCCGAGAACAATATTTTCGGCATGCTTCAGGGTATTCAAACAGTAGTTGTCTTCCAACGAGGCAGTTCCCTCAATGGAAATGAACCGTTGTATGGGGCCTGTGAAGAGGGACCCTGGAGGGAGGGTTAATGCCAACATCGTTGATGACTCTTGGGTTTACACTGGTCCTCCTCATCCTCATCCTCCTACTCCTCCTCCACCTCTTCCTCCCCCTCTTCCTCCTCCTCGTTCTCCTCGTCCTCACGACCCAATCATTATTTCCCATCTCCCTCCTCCCCTTCCTGCTCCACATTGGTTTCCTTCTCCTCCTCCACCGGGTTGTCGCCCCCCACCTGCTCCCCTGCTTCCTCCTCCTCCTCCTTCTCCTCCTTCTCCTCATTTTGTTCCTCCTCCTCCTGCTCCTCCCTCCGCGTCCTCCTTCCCCGACTCCGTCCTTCCCCTCATCCCACATACCATTCACCTCTTGCACTCCTCATCCTTATCGTCGTCGCTGTCCTCCTCTGGCTGCTCCGCTCACTCCTTCCCCCCTCTCCTCCTCCTTTTCCTCCTCCTCCTCCTTCTCCTCCTCCTTCTCCTCCTTCTCCTCATCCTCCTGCTCCTCCTCCTCCTCCTCCTCCTCATCATCATCATCCACCTCTCTCCTCCTCTCCCTCTCTCTCCTCCTCCTCCCCCTCCCCCGTTCCCCTCCTCCACTTCCTCTTCTTCCTCCTCCTCCTCCTCCTCCTCCTCCTCCTCCTCTTCCTCCTCCTCGTCCTCCTTCTCTTTTTCTTTTCCTTACATGTAGCTAAGTCCTCTCTGTCGCACCCCTAGGCCAGTCGGAAAGGCGGGCCAAGCGTTTGGCCTGGGACTTCCTCTCCGTGGGTGATCTGGAAGCTTAACTATTGGCCAACAGGTTCACGGGTGGATAGTGGGCGTTGTTTGTGGCTCTCGTCTTAGGGACGCGCACATTCGTGCACATTCGTTTAAACATTTGCAATAGCTTCACGGATTGAGTGCGGGTAGTTTTCAACATTTGGCTCTCACCTTAGCGCCGCGCAACTTGTACTCAAATGTTGGAAGCATTTCATGAGCGGAGGGCGGGTGGTTTTCAACAATTTGGCTCTCGCCTTCGCGCCGCGCACATTCAGGTTACATCATTGCAGGAGCTTCGCGGAGTGAGGGCGGCTTCTTTTCAAAATGTGGTTCTCGCCTCAGCGCCGCGCACATTCGTTTTAGACATGTGCAGCAGTTGTATTGTTCCTCGTGGTCCACGTGTCAGAAATTTTGTTGGAACGACTCAGGATTGCCCAGGCGCAACAGTTACCTTGATTCGTAGTGTTGAAATCCCAAGAATGCTGTTCTGTCACGATTGAGGATCGTAGGTGCCCGGGTGCCTGGGTGAGGTGCGCCGCCGATTTCCGCGGGTGCCTGGGTGCCACGGTGCCTGTTAGCCCTATAGATCCGTAGCCCGACAGCCCTATAACCCTATAGCCTTATAGCCCTATGGCCCAATAGCCCTGTAGCCCTATAGCCAAATAGCCCTATAGCCCTTTAGCCTTATAGCCCTATGGCCTTATAGCCCTATAGCCCTATAGCCCTATAGCCCTATAGCCCTGTAGCCCTGTAGCCCTAGAGCCCTATAGCCCTATAGCCCCATAGCCGTATAGTCCTATAGCCGTATAGCCCTATATAGCCCTATATAGCCCCACAACCCTATAACCCCCCAAAAATATGATTGGGGTTCTTCTGCGGTATCATTATTCCAACATCGTTGATGAGTCTTGGGCTTGCACTGGTCCTCCTCCTCGTCATCACCATCATCATCCTCCTTGGCCACAACACGCCCCCAGCAGCAGCTGTACGGCAGCTCTTTCGCGGGCAACCGATCCGACCCTCCTCCTCCTCCTCCTCCTCCTCCTTCTCCTCCTCCTCTTCCTTCCCCCAAGATGGCTGGCGCGGAGCTGGGCGCCAGGCTGGCGTCGTAGGTCTACCGTCGCCGTCCTTGGCCGCCAGCAGGAGCCGCTGCTGCAAGAAGTCCGCCGCGTACTGCACGAACTTCTTCGGCCTACGCGCACGGGCGGATTTTTATTATTAGGCCAAGGTCCTATGTCAAGTCATGTCTACCCCCACTCTCTCCCTCTCTCTCTCTCTCTCTCCCTCCCTCTCTCCCTCCCTCCCTCCCTCCCTCCCTCCCGCCCTGTCTCCCTGTCTCCATCCCTCTCTCCCGTCCACCCTGGGCGTCCTTGATATATCGATGCGCAAATACGGGCAATATATACACTTTGCTGATACTTATAAATCCAGATTTATATACACAAAAATATATACTAGTGTGATCAGGTGTACATATGCATACATACATACATACATGCATGCATGCATACAGACATACAGGCATACGTACATACATGTGATTACCATATCTCTGTGGGTAGGTTGGGTATGCTGGAAAACGCAGCTGAGAGGATGCGACAGAGGAGCGCAACCTTCATGTGAGGTTTGTACGTATGACGGGATGTATACATATTATACGTGTATAATATACAGTTTGAAACCTACAGACACCACATACTCATACACAGTGCATGTAAAGGTGCATCCTGGATACCTCAACTGAACATATCAGCGCCATCTGTGTGTTCAACCGGCTTCCTTGAAAAGACAATCGCGCGGGTGTGCTGCATGGCTCTCCTGGAAGAGGGGGAGGCAGATGAGGAGCACGAGCCACATGAGGAGTAATAGCCGAGTAGAGGTTGTGAGCCAGCATGGGCCCTAAGCAGTGACTGATTGCACTGTGGAGATACAAGATATGTGGTGCAATCTATGCAGTGTGAGCTATGTTGTACAATATGTGTTGTGTAAACTATGCTGTATGAACTGTGTGGTGTGAGCCATGCCACGTGTCGTCTGAGCTGTGCGGTGCAGCCGATGCGGTGTAAGATATGTTGCGCAAGCTATGCGGTGTGAGCTATACGGCTTAAGCTATGCGGCGCCCAGGAGGTGCCCACGAGCGGACGAGCGGGCAGGGGCGCGAACGTGGCGAAGCCTCGCAAAACCCACCCAGCGCACGGGGCGCCCACGAGGCGCCCACGAGCGGGCTCGGTCACGAAGATGGCGAAAACCCCAGAAGCCCACCAACTTCCTCAGAAAGACATGCAAGAACCCCTAAGTGCAGGCCCTGTTTGGGGAAGATGACCTATGTATGACAGGAAGGGGCAAACATGCACATTCTAAACAACACACACACATATGTCACTCCTGTGCGCCGATGCTCCCTCTTACCAGCCCTATATCCGCATGCCGCCATCCCCGCCTGTCTGTCTGTCTGTCTGCCTGCCTGTCTGCCTGCCTGCCTGCCTGTCTGCCTGTCTGTCTGTCTGTCTGTCTGTCTGTCTGTCTGTCTGTCTCTGTCTGTCTGTCTTTCTGTCTGCCTCTCGCTCTCTCTTTCTTTCTCTCCCTCTCTCTTTCTCTCTATATATAAGAAGGCTCAACCGGTAGCCTCATTTGAACAGGAGCCGTCGTGCACAATTCGATCCGCTTAAACCGCCCTCCATCCTTACCCGCCACCGTTCCTGCACGATGTGGGCGTATTAGGATGCCAGGTGCTGCTCTGTAGGACTTTTGTATAGCAGACTGGCGCTTGCATCCCCCCTACTTTCGAGGCCGCGACCCCTCGTGGGAAACAATGGTTCCGCGCTTCCGAGGCCACGATCTCTCGTAATGAAAACGATCTGTCTGCGTCCCAAGCTTCCAAGCTGACCCAGACCAGCAATCAAGGCAACCAAGATGGCCCAGGATGCCTCGAAGACGGGACAAGATGACCCCATGGCGGCCGAAGATGGCCTCAGGACGGCCCAAGATGCTTCCAAGAGGGCCCAAAACGGCCCCAAGAGGACCTCCAACAAGGCATAAAGAAACCAAAATCATGAATTTCCCGATGGCTTTCGAATGAGATTCGTACTCTCGCCTTTTCCTGGCCTCCGTCAGCTCAAGACGGCCCAAGATGCCTCCACGCTGGCCCTAAGGGCCCAAGAGGCCTCCACGAGGGTCCAAAGATGGCCAAGAGGATCCCACGAGGGCCCAGGAGGCATCCGCGACGATCCCAGACGGCCCAAGAGGGCCTCCCATTGGACCTCAGACGGCCTTAGAAGGCCTTTCGACTGCCCAAGACGGCGTCAAGACGCATTTCGTCGTCGATGGAGCTACCGTGGCGAGGTACAGTCAGCGCGGGCCAATATGATACCCGCCACTCCTTGAGCGCAGCTCGTTGCGCTGCAAACTGAATTCGGCACGGTGGCAAGAGGCCGCGGGACCACTCACGGAATACTGTGGCACGGTGTCCTTCTCTTCGATGCCAGGTAAGATTAGCAACACCAACCTGTTCAAAATTCACGGAAACAAGAGTGGCATTCCACCGTTGCGGCGTTTGTGAGCCGGTCGCCTGGACCGCGCTGACAGAATGATCGACAAGATCGAAGGTGTCCTTCCACGCAGCGCAGGTTTGTTCTTAAGCACATCAGGTCACGATAGACAGGCCGTGCCAGCCATAGGGATCCTCACCGTGCCCTTGGCACGTTGAGGCGGCGTGGTGCGTGGTAGAATGCCAATTCTGTCTGGCAAGGTTTCTGCCATCTTCTCTCGGACTTCTCGCGGACTTTGCCACGATCCCCGGGAAAAAAACTATGGATCCGCGCTACGGAGGCCACGATCGATGGTAAAACTCAATGAATCCACGTCCTGAGCATCCCAGACGGCCAAGAGAGGCAACCACGGCCTCCAAGATGGCCCAAGACGCCTCGAAGACGGCCCAAGATGGCCCAACGGCGGCCCAATGTGGCTTCAAGAGGGCCCAAGATGTTTCCAAGAGGGCCACTAGACAGAAGAAGCCCAAATCATTAATTCCCATCGGTTTTTGAATAACTGTCGCATTCTCGCAATCTCGGACTTCCGTCAGCTCAAGACGGCCCAAGAAGCGTCCAATCCCGAGACCGCTCAAGTGACGCCCCAAATCGCATACGAGGACCCCGCGATGGCTCAAGAGGCGTCCAAGACGGCCTAAAAGGGCCTCGGGAGGGATCCAAGACTGCCTTAGAAGATCCTTCGACGACCCAAGACGGCGCCAAGACTTCCCCACGACGGCCCCCAGACATCGCCACATGCCTCAAGATGGCCTCAGAGAGCCCTGAGACGGCCTAAAGGGCCCCAAGATGGCCCAATAGGGCCCCAAAACGGCCCCGGCACCCAAGCCTGCCCCACAGGAAACTAAAAAAGCCCCAATACGGCCCAACTGAGCTCCATGAGAGCTGCTCAAGGTGTATGACACATGTGACTGCTTTCCTCTTCCTCCTCCTCCTCCTCCTCCTCCTGCTCCCTGCTCCTCCTTCTCCTCCTCATACTCATCCTCATCATCCTGATTCGCGGCTCTCCCAAGCCTGAGGACACGAGGTGTCACACATGACATGCCACCTCGATCAGTTGCCACCCGTAATGCTGGGGTGGCACAATGGCGGGACTTGCCGCAGGCAGCTGGAAACGTGTCGGAAAATGAACGAGTGTGCGCCGCTCTACGGCGAATGCAACATTATGAAAACGACCTGTGCTCCATCCGTGTAACGGTTGCGAATATCAAGCGATCACATACAGATGATGGAGTCTCCAACGAAACGCCGGACCCGCCCTACCGACACGTATGGGTGCGATGGGGAGGGGTTCTCTCTCTCTTTCTCTCCCTCTCTCTCTCTCTCTCTCTATATATATATATATATGTATTACACCAAAGAAAGCCCCAAAAAGTGAATGGTTTTCGCCGAGGAGATCGACTGGGAACCCGGGAGCCCAGAAACCCAAAACCTACCGAAATCGGCCCGGAACCATTAACCGGAAACCCGGGTGACCGGAACCGGGAACCCGGGAACCCAGCCAGCTGCCAAAATCGGCGGGAAACTTTCGCCAAATCTTTCAACTTCCTCTAGACCCCCTTCAGTGCAAGCACTGATTGGGGAATATATGTATAAAGAAAGTGGATGGACGGATGGAGGAGGAGAAGAAGGAGGAGAAGGGAGGAGGAGAGGGGAGGGAAATAACGACGACGACGAGCGCATGTGGCTAAATCCGCAGCGGCCAGCTACGAGGCTAACCTGCCACCTGCTAGCAACGTATCGCTGCGAGCTTCACGGGCCGAGTTTCGTACGCAAGCGATGCGGGGGCGGAGGCCGCCGAGATGGGCGACTCGCGAGATCGGCCCTCAGCTTGCCCGCAGGCAGGAGGACGAGGAGGAGAAGGGCGAGGGCGACGACCAAGAGGAGGGCCGAGCTCGTCGTCCCCCCTGGAGTAGGGCGACGAGATCTATGCATATCCACTGCTCCTGGCCAGGCCCATCCTGGGCCCAGGAGCGGTGTATATGCCTCCCTGGCCAGGCCAGGAGGGCATCTACACCGCTCCTGGGCCCAGGATGGGCCTGGCCAGGAGCAGTGGATATGCATAGATCTCGTCGCCCTATGGAGGCGGGCCGCAAGCTGTCGTGGTGGCCGCCGACCGTGACGAGCTTCTTGTCCGCGCAGCCCCACGCCTGGGGTTTTCCGGGGAGGCGCCGGGCCGCCGAGAGAGCCCTCGGCTCCTCGCCCTCCGTCTGGGGCCCTTCGCTCCCCTGGGCCTCGGGCTCCTCCTCCTCCTCCTCCTCCTCCTCCTCCTCCTCCTCCTCCTCCTCCTCCTCCTCACGATGGGAGGGGCAGGCCGTGCCAGCGCAGCGTGCCTCCAACAGGTGCCGAGGGGAGAGAGGGGCGGCCCACTCGGAGTCCAAACCCCCCCGGCGGCTCGGAAGACGGCGCGTTCGCGCCCTCCGCTCGACCGAACCGAACTTCACCAGCAAATCGGTCCTCCTCCTCCTCCTCCTCCTTCTCATCATCATCATCCCAAATCTCTTCTTCGCCCTCCTCCGTATCCTCCTCTGCACCCTCCTCTCCCACATCCTTCTCCTCCAGTCTTGACACGGACAGAGGCGTGTAATACTCAAAATGTGGTGTTCGCCTTGGCGCCGCGCGCACTGGCTTTAATAGCTTCATGAGGGCGGATCGGTTTCGAAATGTGGTTCTCGCCTCCACGCCGCACGCATTCGTCATCATTCGTCTTAGCATACACTGCGCTGACGGATGGTAAGCGGGTCGCTTTCAGAATCCGGTCCTCGCCGTCGCGCCACGCGCATGCGCCTCACAATCTTCCAGCCGCTACGCGGACGAAAGACGGGCCGTTCTCAACACGGGGCTCTCGCCGTAGAGCGGCGCACAATCGTCTTAAAATCTTCTCACTGCCAAGTGCACGGTAGGAGGGCAACTCGCTTTCAAAATCCGGCTCTCTCGCCCTCGCGCCGCACACACTTTTTCCGTCGGCGGCTAGGCAGAGGGACTGCTCTGGCGACGTAGCATTAGTGGGACACACAAATCGCGACTTGTGCTGCGCTGCACGATGGAAGAGGAAAGGAGCCCAGCGCGGGCAATGCGCCGCACACACATGTGCAAAACGCCCACCCGCTACTCGGAAGGAGGGCGGGGGCTTTTCAAAACCTGGCCCTCGTCTTCGCACGGCACACATTCGTCAACAAAAACGGCCAACCGCTGCACGGATGGAAGGCGGGTCGATTTCAAAATGTGGTCACCGCTTCAGCGAGCTTTAGCGTCGCGGGCATTCATGTCAAGGGCTGTCACCCGCTACGAGGATGGAGGGCGAACAATTTCCGCAGTGTGGCTCTCGCCTGAGCGTTGTGCGTAGTCGTCTTTACAACTCACAACGATTGCATGGATGGAGGACGGTTCATTTTCAAGACGGGGCTGCCGTGTGCGACCGCCTCAGATCGAATAGCCAGAAGCATCGATTTGTGCAGACGTTACGCGGATTCAGGGCGCCTCCTTTTCCAAATGCGGCTGTCGTTTGCGACGTCTTCAACTTGTGTTATCAGAAACGTGCGCCACCGCACTTGCAGCCGTTGGTGTGTGAATGTGTGTATATGTGTCGAGCCTTAGTTTTTCTTTCGCTATCTTGGCTTCTTGCGCAACGATAGTCAAGGCGCCCCCGACGAATCCAGCCCAAAATGCATTCATCGCTTCAACCACGTTCCCGCTTTGTTTGGCTGTCCGAAACACGAGCTGCATCAAGAACAGAACAGTGGGGGCAGCCGGCCGCCCCCCCCCCCCCCGCCGCCGGCCGCCCCCCCCCCCCCCCCCCCCTCCAGCCCCGAGGCGCCCGCCCGAGCGCGGTGGTTGAATCGCGCGGCAGCGTGACTGGATAGGCACGTGCACCAGCTGCACGGCTGGAGGGCTGTTCCTTTGCAAGGCGGGGCTCTCGCTGCGACACGTCCTCCGAGCCTCGTGGCCCCACCTCCCTGATGACTTGGGCGGTCTCCTTCCCCAACGAGGCGGCAGACCCATGGGGCGCTCGCCTTTCAAGGCGGCGCCTCCCGCAGCGAAGAGGAATGCCCCCAGAGGCTGGTGGGGAGGGAACTTGGAACGGGAGGACGTACTGGAGCATCTCTGATGCATCCTGGGTTGACCCAGGTCCTCACCATCCCAGAGTCCTTCCTCCGCCTCCTTCTCCTGGGCAGTTTGATTTTCAATTGTTGTGCTAATAATATATACACGTGTGCGTGTGACTTTCATCCTTCTCCTGGGACGTCCTGCATTCGGCCCTCGACGATCGGGGAGGGCGAAGTTGCCGGCCGGTTTCGGGAGCTTGTTGTACGCTTCTGCCCACGTTTGGGTCTCTGGAGGCTTTCGGGGGCCTCCAGGGACCTCTGAGGTCAGTGTCCGGGGTGGGAGCACAAGAATGTAACACATTCTTCTCCTCCTCCTCGGCCTCTGTCTCGTCCTTCGCTTTCCTCATCGTCGTCCTCTCGTCGTCTCGCCTTTTTCTCTGACAGAGGGTTCCTGGCCTCGGAAGCGCGCGCATGTTGTGTTTGTTTTTGCAATGCAACCCACTGTGGCTTCGGACACAATGTTTCACACGGGATCGTGGCCTCGCAAACGCCAGCCTTTTTTATGATGCGTGTTTGTCCTAGGAGCGCGGAACAATGATATCTTACGCGGGATCTTGGCCTCGAGAGCGCGCGCATCCATTCTTCTTGTTGTTACGATGAATCGTGTCCGTGAGATCGCAGAATCATCGTGCTTTTACTTATGACAGCACGTCCTGAGGCGTAGGGAAGATGTATGATTCGGCAGGGAGGGGGGGAGGGGGGGGCAATTTTTCTGGCTCGGAGGGATCAAGGACGGCAGAGAAATATCGGCCTCTAGCTGGGTTCGCTGCCTAACCCAGCTTGGCTAACCCAGCTTGGGCTAAACACCACCTTCACGTACCCCCGATGGTTCAACGATCTGGCCCCCGAGCGTCACCACGGCGGATTGGGAGGCCAAGATCATGACCGAAATGACGACTTCTCTGCGTCCGCGCACTGACATCCATCATGCAAGCACAGTCGAGCTACCACCACGCGGAACGCCAGATAATGAACGGGCACCCCTTTCTGACCCCAGCAGCGCCTCGGTGCACGAGGAGCGCCGGAGGCACAACCGTGGAAGGACCTGAGAAGCAGCGAACCCCAACGCGTGGGTGCCCTTGTCCTAGTCTTTCAGGTCCGGGCGGGATCGCCGAGTCTGAAGCAACACGGGGGCCTGGGCGCGGAAAGCACGGGCGTGGGCCGCGGGCGCCGATCGCGGGCACGGCTCGCGGGCGCTGTGTCGCTGGCGCCGCGGGGCAACGAGCACGCGGGCCACGGAGCGACAGGATCCGCACAGAAAAATCCAGACCTCCATGGTTCCCAGCCATCCTGTGGTGTTGGGTCCTCGTTTTGAGGAGACAGTCCCCGCGTCCCTCCTCCTCCTCTTCCTCCTCCTCCTCCTCTTCTCCTCCTCCTCCCCCTCCATCCTCCCCCTCCTCCTTCCTCCCTGCGTTTCACCCACCCAGTACAGCGTTTCGTGGCCCCATAGGGAGCCCACCGAAGGTCCCAGTGGCACCGCCCTCATGCGTCAGCCACCACCCAACACAGTCATTGTTCCCTGCGTTTCGCCCACCCAGTACAGCGTTTCGTGGTCCCATATGGTGGCTCCACTGAAAGTCCCAGTGGCGCCGCCCGCGTGCGTCAGCCACAACGCAGCACAGCCCTTGTTCCCTGCGGTTCACCCACCCAGTACAGCGCTTCGTGGCCCCATAGGGAGCTCCACCGAATGTCCCAATGGCACCGCCCGCATGCATCAGCCACCACCCAGCACAGCCCTTGCTCCCAGCGGTTCGCCCACTCAGTACAACGTTTCGTGGCCCCATAAGGGGGCTCCACCGAAGGTCCCAGTGGCACCGCCCGCATGCGTCAGACACCACCCAACACAGCCCATGCGTCAGCCACCACCCAGCACAGTTGTTTTTCCTTGCGTTTCATCCACCCAGTACAACGCTTCGCGGCCCGATAGGGAGCCCCACCGAAGGTCCCAGTGGCACCGCCCGCATGCGTCAGCCACCACCCAGCACAGCCTTTCCTCCCGGCGTTTCACCCTCCCAGCGCAGCGCTTCGTGGCCCCATAGAAGGCTCCACCGAAGGTCCCTGTGGCACCGCCCGCGTGCGTCAGCCACCACCCAGCACAGCCCATGCGCCAGCCACCACCCAGCACCAGTTTTTCCTTGCGTTTCACCCACCCACTAAAACGTTTCGCGGCCCCAGAGGAAGCCCACCGAAGGTCCCAGTGGGTGGCGCCGCCCGCATACGTCAGCCACCACCCAGCACAGCCCTTGCTCCATGCGTTTCGCTCACCCAGTACAATGCTTCGTGGCCCCATAGGGGGCTCCACCGAAGGTCCCACTGGCACCGCCCGCATGCGTCAGCCACCACCCAACACAGCCCTTGCTTCCTGCGGTTCACCCACCCAATACAACGTTTCGTGGCCCTATAGGGAGCCCCACCGAAGGTCCCAGCGGCGCCGCCCGCATGCGTCAGCCACCACCCAGTACAGCCTTTTCCTCCCTGCGTTTCACCCACCCAGTACAGCGCTTCGTGGCCCCATAACGGGGGCCCACCGAAGGTCCCAGTGGCACCGCCCGCATGCGTCAGCCACCACCCAGCACAGCCTTTCCTCCCTGCGCTTCACCCTCCCAGCACAGCGCTTCGTGGCCCCATAGAAGGCCCCACCGAAGGTCCCAGTGGCACCGCCCGCATGCGTCAGCCACCACCCAGCACAGCCCATGCGTCAGCCACCACCCACCACCAGTTTTTCCTTGCGTTTCACCCACCCAGTACAACGCTTCGTGGCCCCATAGGGAGCCCACCGAAGGTCCCAGTGGGTGGCGCCGCCCGCATGCGTCAGCCACCAACCAGCACAGCCTTTCCTCCCTGCGTTTCACCCACCCCTCCCGGTGAAATGTTCTACTCTTCCCTGACGCGTCAGGCCTGCGGAGCGCGCTGGGCCCCGGTCCAAACGGGGGGGGGCGGAACGGCGGGGGGAAAGACTTAAGGATGGAGAAGACGTAGGAAGGGAGGAATACAATTTTTTCCACCCGGGGGCGCCGGGGCACCAGGGGGCGCGGCTTCTACAG